AGACTCCACCGTGCGAGGCGCCCTGATGGATCCTTCAAGTTAGCTAGCCAACACAAGGCGTGGTGGTCACTCACGACTTTGAAAGGCCTGCCGTACAGGTAGGGGCGGAACTTTGATGTAGCCCAGATGATGGCAAGGCATTCCTTTTCTGTCGTGGAATAATTGGCTTCTGCCTTCGAAAGTGACCGGCTAGCGTAACGATGACCCTTTCAAGTCCGTCGGTTCTCTGCACGATCACGGCGCCGAGCCCTGTGCTGCTTGCGTCCGTGTGAATTTCGGTGTCAGCTTCTTCGTCGAAGTGCGCCAGTATTGGCGGCGTTTGCAGGCGTCGCTTTAATTCTTGAAATGCCTCGACTTGCGGCGTTTCCCATTTGAAGTCGACGTCGGCCTTCGTGAGGTACGTCAGTGGCTCGGCGATCCGCGAAAAGTTCTTCACGAAGCGCCTGTAATAAGCGCAGAGGCCAAGAAATCGGCGTACTGCTTTCTTGTCGGTGGGTGCAGGAAAGTCGGCGATCGCAGCTGTTTTCTGTGGATCAGGGAGCACTCCCGACTTGCTGATAACGTGACCAAGGAACAATAGTTCCTCGTAGGCGAAGCGGCACTTTTCTGGCTTCAGGGTAAGTCCCGAGGCTTTGATTACCCGAAGAACAGCTTCAAGGCGCCGGAGGTGCTCGTCGAAGTTGGAAGAAAATACGACTACGTCGTCCAAGTAGACGAGGCAAGTCTGCCACTTCAAGCCTGCGAGTACTGTGTCCATAATCCGTTGGAACGTCGCAGGCGCCGAGCAAAGACCAAAGGGCATGACCTTAAACTCGAATAGGCCGTCTGGTGTTATGAAGGCAGTCTTCTCTCGGTCTCTCTCGTCTACTTCGATTTGCCAGTAGTCGGTTTTGAGATCCATCGACGAAAAATACTTGGCGTTGTAGAGTCTGTCCAGAGCATCGTCTATCCGTGGGAGGGGATACACGTCTTTCTTCGTGATCTTGTTCAGGCGACGATAATCGACGCAAAAACGTAGGGTTCTGTCCTTCTTCACCAACACCACGGGTGATGCCCACGGACTCGTAGACGGCTGAATGATGTCGTCACGCAGCATTTCGTCGACTTGTTGCTTGATGGCCTCGCGTTCCCGTGCAGAAACTCGGTAGGGACTCTGACGGCGCGGACGGGCATATTCGTGGGTTATGACGCGATGTTTCGCGAGAGGGGTCTGACGAAGCCTCGACGACGACGAGAAGCAGTCCTTGTATTGGTGGAGTAAGGCTTTGAGCTCCTTTTGTTGCTGCCTGGAAAGGCTTCGCTCACCTGGGCGCGCACGCGGCGCGTTCACGTCGAAGCCACGCAGTCCCATCTCACGGTACTGGCAGTAGCGGTAGGTGTGCCCGGCTTCGCCGCAGTGGTAGCATAGTGGGCGGTGGTTCGGGGTGCGCCAAACGTCAGTTTTTCTCGGGGAGCGCTGGATTACTGGCGAGCGGGAAGGCGTCGGGGGTGGCGGCGGTGGCTGGCGACGAAACTGCGGAGACGTTGGGTCCTGGTGTTGGCGAGGAGCGGCGACAGGTCGTCGTGCAGTAGCGGCGTAGGTCATCGCCTCCGGTTGGGGCTGTGGCCGTTCAGGAACGCTCAGTGAGCGCTGTAGTTCCTCGCGGACTACGTCTTCGAGAGAGGCGACTTGGGGCTGAGACGATGGCAACATGCGGCGCAGTTCTTCACGAACAATAGCGCGTATGGTCTCGCGCAGGTCGTCGGGGCAGAGTCCTCGGACTTCTGCGACGTCTGGCGACATGCGCCGCTCGTATTGGCTGGTCCGCATTTCAAGAGTCTTCTCGATGGTGGTAGCCTCGGAGAGGAACTCTTGTACCGTCTTTGGCGGGGTTCTGATCAGTCTGGCGAAGAGCTCCTGCTTCACTCCTCGCATAAGCAGGCGAACCTTCTTGTCCTCAGACATGTCGGCGTGGCGGAAAATTCGCGTCATCTCCTCCGTGAAGATCGTTACGTTTTCGTTGGGGAGCTGCACCCGAGTTTCAAGCAGTGATGCGGCTCTTTCCTTCCGCACGACGCTTGCAAAGGTGCGCAGGAAAGCAACGCGGAAGTCGTCCCAGGTTCGAAGCGTTGACTCGCGGTTCTCGAACCAAGTCCTTGCGGTGTCTTCCAGGTAAAAATACACATGACGCAGTATGTCGTCCGGGTCCCACTTATTGAGGGCTGCGACGCGGTCGTAAATGTCAAGCCAGCTTTCCGGGTCTTCGTAGGTCGATCCGCGGAAGGTAGGCGGCTCTTTGGGCTGGTTGACGACCACGGTTGCCGAAGACCTTGCTTCCGTCATCGTGGATGCCGGCTTCGTAGCAGCCTTTGTTTTCTTGTCCTTGTCGGGGAGCGGCAGGTATTCGGGCGGTAGTCCTTGTTGTCTTCGGCTCACTCGAACGACCGGGTCGGCGTCGTCCTCTTGGTGGCTTGGGCTTGGCTCACGGCTGGACGGGGGCGTACGGTGCATGGACCGAGAAGCACCTCCACCAGATGTCACAAGGTTGTGATACACGCAGCACTTGAGAGGAAGCACGCAGGAGTCAGGGCGGTGTCAGGCGAACTGTTTATTGGGCGAACTTGTGCCCAGCAAAACAGGGCCAAACACAACTCACAGCAACAGCGGCGTGAACAGTCGTCGGCCGACGAAAAAAAAAAAAAAAAAGACCCCCAGTGGCGCACTGCGCCGGCTTTTTATACACGCGTCGTAACGCGTTCCAGAGTGGCATCCCCCTGTAAACTCGTTTGCACCTCGTGGGACAGGTGTCTCGTGCATAGGCCACATTTTCGGTTTACAACTACCGAGCGGTAGATGGCATTGTGCTCGCGAGCGTTTATCACCACTACCATTATCGTCGCGGTTAGAACGGTGGCGCCAGTAGGGACGCATGACGGCAAGCCTTGGTAGCAGCATGGGAGAGATGAGTGGTCTCTTTGGCTCGTGGCGGTTGGCGCGGACGGTTGTCTCTCGCGGGGGGTTTGCGGTGGACAGCACCGCGGGTTTTCTGCTGTAGGCCCTAGTGGGTTAGTCAAGCGTTGGCGAAAGTCTCCTTGTGTGTGTTTTTTTGCTTGTCATTTGTTGAGTGTTGTGCAATATTGTGTAAGGTTATTTTAGTGCGTTGATCACAGTTGATGTATAATAATTCGGCTGGCGCCATCGTCGTTCTAACAGTAGTTAAATAAATGTGTGTTTCTTTGGTTCGTTCTGACCGCGTCTACTGTGTTCACTCCAACAACGTGGCGTTCACATCGAGACCCCACAGGGAGGACGTTATGGCTGCAACGACAGCTGAGCTAAACTCTATTCTGAAAGAGGCCTTCTCAAAATGCTTCCAACAAGGGCAGCACCACTGGGAGAAGTGTGTGCGAGTCTCAAGGGGACTACTTTAAGGGGGATTAGGTTCCTAACACTCCAATTATGCCAGTTTTTTTTTTAATTCCGCCAAAGGTCGGATACTTTTCTAACAGACCTTGAACATCTGCCTCTCTAAAATATGCATGCACGCATATTACAGCGAAAGCTGTTAGGAGTTAACAATACCATTCACATGCGGTGCCGTAGTTGTCCACCGCCGTCGGTGTCCGTAACCACTATCGCATAAAATAAGAAAAAAAAAAACTGTTAATGTAAAACACCAAGGACACAGTGGGCTTCGAACCCGAGTTCCCTGCGTGCCAGTCCAGTATTCTGCGACTGAGCCACACTAGTGGTTGGAACTCATTTCTAAACCCGGGTACCCTAGGTGCCAGCCCAGTATTCTACCACTGAGCCACACTGGTGGTTGGAAACATTTTTCCAAACTGGCCTTAATTGGGCTTGATGTCTAGAAAGGAATTGCGTTAATATGAGTAATAAAGCGTTTTAGAACATCAAAGGAACAACCAGGCGTCACACATTGCAAATTGCATAATGAGTGGGCCATCCGATGTTCCAACCTATTACAAAAGTTCGTTCTTGATCACTTATTTACCTGTGGCACATACCACGCTTCTCCGAAGAATAACAAAGGATAGCGTAGTGATTGCCGGCCAACTACTTAAAAATTAAAATTATATGTGGTGTGTTGGGTACCCAGCAACTGTAGCAGTTGCCAAGAGTGATTAGAAAAGGCTCTGAAAGGCTGCTTTTCCTGCTTCTGGTGTGACTGTGTTGTGCATTCCGCACAGGCCTAGAATTTCTTGTTGGTGTAGGCAAATTATGCTGGTCAGCTGTGAAGTGAGAAACAGCTAAAAGAAATTGACGACCTGCACGCAAGAACGTGCGCGTTACTCTGGAGCACGCCTACGGCTTCGACCCTTACGTTTTGCCTCGAAAGAAACTGCACACGCTTGATAGATGCTGGCAAGGAGTCATGTTCGTAGGAACTTGAGACCCTCAAAATGAATAAAATTGCTGTGAGTACGCGCTCGCCACCTGTAACTGCTAATTAGACAACAAGATGTGCGCCGAATTTGCACCCGACACTCACTCGCTCGAAATTGCGTCTTCACTTGACGCATTCACATTATCGGTGCTGAAATTTGATGTGTTGACATCTTCTTCAGGCTCACTGCTGCTGATTTTATCCTAAAAGTCTGCTGTTGATGTGCTCAATTTGCGAGAAATGCATAGTCTTTTAGAAACGTCCACATGGGAAAACAACATCATGATCGGCGTACTTGTGCAACACCCCGAAACTTTAAGCGGCGGGGGAAAACTTCAAAAGCAAAAAACAACCAAAACATAGCGGATCTCATTGTGCGTTTCCTACTCTCTTACCTAGGTGGCGTTAGGCGTCCCTAATTTCCACGTGCTTGTGAAAATTTAAACTTGCAGTGCATTGTTCAAATTGAACTATTTGAATAGGTGTGGTAGTGATGGAGTTAAAGAATAATTTATCAGTCTTAAAAAAATTAGATTTCTACATTGGTGCCCCTTTGACTCAGTTTAAGGCTTTTCATTAAGCAAGTCCAATTTTGGTCGTGGCATTGGCATTCAGGTGATGAAGAAGATGGCCCAGCGTGAGTCTCCCCAGCGTGGTGTGCAGCACGCATTGCTCCAGAGAGAGAGGGCTGCTCTGCAGCTTGCTCTTGAACGTGGCCGCCGGGAGCCTGACCAGGCCCTGGCTTCTGCTGTGCGCGCACAGCTCGATGACCTTGAGGGGCGACTCATCAATATCTCAAGTGAGAATCTCTGCCATGATATATCTGACAGGCTTGTTGTGAATACTTTGTGTATTATGATGAGGCCATGTTCAAACGAATAGTTGTGGAAATTCTATAAAATTTATGATACAATAGCCAGTCTTTCCGCAAATCTGTAAAAGGGAAGCACTTTTACTAGAGATGGGCAAATACTCGGCGGGAATCTGAATTGTTTGAAATTTAGAAGTACAGTTGGACCCTTTTATAAGAGACATGCACTGGGGAGCAATTGTTGCCTTTTCTACGAGGCGTCTTTTTATAATCAGCGTACCAGATATGCATTTTTTAATCGACACCTATTTAAATGTAGACACATTAGTGTCTCTTATACCGAATTGTCTCTTACACCAGTGTCTCTTATATGGCTTCGTTTCAGGGGGGGGGGGCTGCTATGCTATGAAACCACCTATCCAGGGGTAGCTGCACTGCCGTGAGGCCTTGCTTGAAGGTTGAATGTGTGTTCAAAAGTGCCCTATGTGGGCCTATATGCACTATGTGAAGCAAGTTTTTAATCTACGATATTTCAAAGCATGTGCACGTTACTTTGCAAAACCTGCCACTATTCAAATTTGCTTCCACTTGTGACCAAAAAAGTGACACTTGTGCACACCTACAAGCGAAAAATGTGCAGGTTCTTGGGGCCTTTGCTCCTTTTTCAAACATTTTCATTCTAAATTAGTCGACAAAGCCGCTATTCACTTCGAGCTTTATGTTTACCATTCACGTATCCCTAGTTTTTACTTTCAGTGGTGGAAGCAGTTTCGTTATAGTCATGCTGTACATCCTGTATAGGGCTATGGTTCTGTGTATGTTTCCTGTGCATCAACTAAAATGTATGTTACACGCAAATTCAGCGAGCCTCACCACTTACTGTCAGTTCATTAGAAACAAAGAAGTGATGACACTGGTGGCAAACACGAGTGAAGATCTTGCATGAAGCTCTAAGCACATGCGGCAAACCAGACAAGACGAGGCATGGCAATGAGCGGAGAATGCAATAAAAAGATGCAGGCACCAATTTGCTCAAGTTGAATATTTTAAAGAAGCATGTGTTAAATTAAAGAAAATGAGTTTCTTTCAATCAAAAAGGACTTTATTTGAGACATTTTGGGATTACAGTGGACTTCTATTAAACGAAACTCGAAGGGGCAACAAAATTGGTTCCATTTATAAGAAGCTTTTAAGCAAAGCCCACAAAATGAATGAAATATGACTTTATTTCAAGAGCACAAACTGTGGCTGACTGAACAGAAGCATTTTGAAGTACGCAATACTACTGTAGTTGATTAGAAAAAAAAATGTTGCTAATATTGCTTATTAAAAAAAAGGAGGTGATAACAATTTGCTTGGCCTTGTTCAAGCACTTTCTCACATAGTGCATTGCTGAAAGGCTGGGTAAGAACTTTGTGCCGCCATGTGTTCAAATTAACGCTGCAGCAGGATGACAGCATCTCTTGCTGCACTGTCAGCCACTGAAATAGGCTCGGGATCACATGCCACCTCATTACCGCTTGAGCACTGGTCCTCCTCTTGAACTTAAGCTATAGGTTTCTCGAAACTGTCTCCTCAAGTTCACGGCGAGACGTCGATTGCTGCTCTGCGTGCGAGGACATTACGTGTGCGGACATGTGCAATCGCTGGATTGGCTTAACTAGGCTAGCTTTTGCATTTGTTTCATGGTTGCTAGACTGCTGTGGCCACTTCCGCTGTTCATGGATTTTGCCCGTTTTAGTTTCATTTAACCGACGTAAGCTAAGAAAAATGTTCAGATTATCCAAAACTTTTTGTCATTAAATATACAGTAAGACCTCGTTAATTCAAATTCACTGGGGCGGTGAGAAGGCTTTGAATTAAGCGGGTTTTCGAGTTAAGAGAACATACAAAAGTGGGATGCAAGAAACTTAGAACTATTCAAAGTAATCTGTGCTCGTCGTTTGCTGTGCTGGCTAGCTTGCGGCTCGGAAAAGGCTCCAAAGGTTATGTATTCCAGTAGTACCTGGTCTATATTTTGCCGCGAACATGTAGGAAGGTGGGCCTCACTGCTGCCATCCGAAAAAAACAAAAAAACAAAACGAATACGTGGTCGTGATCGACTAAAATGTGCGCCTGCAGAAAACAAGATATCTTCACTGCAACACAGTAGTGACACGCGGGCAGCATGTCGCCCGCTCCTCGCTGCGTCAGCATGTCATGATGCGACCATTCGCACATTCTTTCTATTATAATTATGAATTTAATAATGGCCAGTATGACGAAGCTCACGGTGTGTTTTGGCTGGAAAATTATTATATTTGAAATTTTCGAACTTAGTTTTTGAAGTAGGTGTTGCTGGCAAGAACTCCGCCAGCAGTGCAAAGACGCGAATTGCTTGAGCAACCAGCAATCGGAGGTTCGCATACATCGCGATTTCCGCTAAAGTGTTCTTTATTAATTTCTTCACAATCCCAGAAAGAATGGGTAAACCATGACCCGCTGACGTTGCGAGCAACGTGCAATAAGGTGCACGCGTGTCACTGCTGTGTTTCAGTGAAGCACAGCTCGTTTTCAGTAGGCGCGCGTTTTGGTTGGCCACGAGACCGTTTTTTTTTTTTTCCTTCTTTCTTTTTTTTGCGCTAGAAGTGCGAGACTGGGGTGCTTCAGCTGCCACTCATCAGTATCGATACGTTTCATTGCCTTGGCCGCAGTTTCCGTGGATTCGCAGCGAAATCGGGATCTGGAACTGGCACATCGCACCCAAAGTTTTCGAATCAACCGGACTGTTGCCAGCGGCCGCTTCAAATTATCCACTCTAACTTACATTGGAAAATACGGGACCGCAGAAATCCTTCGAATTAAGCGGGATTTCGAAATAACCGAGTTCAAATTAACGAGGTTTTAGTGTATATGAGACCAACCAAATGTACCTAGATAATTTCGTTTATGCGGCTCTTACATTTAGCCGAGTTTCGTTTAATGGGAGTCCACTGTAGTTACAAAGTGCGTAATCGGTTATGGTTCGAAATTCTACGTCACCTCTGTGTCGTGTTCTGAAGAGCTTCGTTCGTCATTGACCTTCGCAGACAGAAATAGCTCCCAATTTCTCAGTAAAGAATGCAGTCTGTACTTGCATTGGTTTCCTTTATAGTCATAATTTTTGTGCAGTCGATACTATGCAATAAATATATGACGCCAAATTATTTAAACGGAATACAACTTGCTCTCTACCCCTTTTTCTGTTTAGATGGCTCCTTCAGTGATGACGCAGCAGAAACATCTTGGGCACAAGATGTCACATCCACGCCTCGGTCCACCCGTGTTAGTTTTGTACATCGGCCTCCACAGAGCAGCACCCCTCAGGTTGACCGAAGCTTTTACCCAGCTCGTGCAGATGCGAGCCATTCATCAATGCCAGAGGTATGCAGCTGCCTGTTTCTCTTGGGTGCCATGAAAATAGAAAAAAAATTTACGCATCTGTTACGCCAGTCAATGGGAAACGCGGAACAGCACTCTTGAAAAACGGGCCGGCCACGTGAGCCATTGGGCGACTTGGCACAGCGAATTTCAAAATGCGCGCCGAGTGACAGCTAATCAGCAACTAAAAAATGGCTTTCAGAAAATTCGTGATGGAGGTCATTCTGCTTGGACGACGCTATTTTGACATGCTGCAAATTACCCAGAAAGGAAACGGCTTCAAATCTTGCTCAAGGTGGTGGCGCTTACCACGCTGCAAAGCTCATGGCATGCAGGTGAACTTCGAACAAATTTTGTTTTTTGGGGGGCATTTGACTGCTGCCAGGGGGCTTTTGAAGACCCATTTTGTGACATTTCCAGGCCAAATTCACCCTACAGTATAATATCGATGATACGACTACGGTTGATGCGAATTTCTTAATGATACAAATTTTAAGGTTGCTTTAGATGGACTACATTATATAAAATACTGTCTGATTCAGTGTCATACGAACGGTTTTCCCAGCCAGCGTGGATGAAACGAACGCGCGATTGGCCGCTGCACGCGAACGGCACAACGCGACTTGTTTGGGGGAAAAAGGCCCGTTCAAACTGTGCCTCGAAAGGAGTGAAAGCTGCAAAACTCACTGGAATTTCCCTTGCTTCTCTGCCTAAGTGGCTGGAAAACCATGCCACGAGGCTTACGCGAAAAAATCAGCCTGCGACCAATTTTTCCGCCACGCAATAGCAGATCTCTTTTTTGCTTCACGGCTTACACTACACCGGCCGCACTAGCTCTTAAATGAGGTGATGTAAACAACTAGCCGCAAATTGAACACGGCGGTAAAGGCATTGGCAATGGCTGAGGTCGGCACAATGGCGAACTACCCGTGCAGCACGACAAACCTCACGGCCTTGAAAAGGATCCGTTCATTGAGAGCCTAGTTTAGATTACGATCGCTGCAAACACAGAAAGTAGAAGGTGCAGCAGCAGCAGTAGCGAGTCGGGGTGACCTTAGTGCCTCGCTTTTGCACTGCCGGCTGAATCCGCTGCCGGTGCGTTTGCTCGTGTCGTTTCTGCTGGTGTATCTCTCGAAACAGCGTTTGTACAGGTGTAAACTGTTTTGAGTGCTTTGCATGCATAACTAGAACTCGGTACAAATTTTAATGCTCAGGAGACAAGCAAAATGAAATGAATTCCTAAGTGGCGAAGGCTGTAGGCAAAATGAATGTGAACATTTTCGATGGGCACTGACGTGGTTTTGCAGCTGCTCTGGTGTTTTCGCTTGAATTCTCGCGTGTGACAGATTATTTTTTTTTTTTGTCGACATTGTGGCGCGTTTTATCTGGCCGCTTAAGGGGAGACGTGGGTCCTTGAAAAAATTTTTCTTATTATTCGTCTGAATTGAATGAAACTTTATAGACTTATTCAGTTTCTTCTGCAGATACCAAATCTTTAAGTAGATTTTCGATAGCTGCATGAGAACAAAAGATATAAATATTTGTAATACACAATTAACATATTTCTTATGGGGCTTTTTGGCAATGTCGCCATGTCAAACACAAGAACAAAGTATATATCCATATTGCCAGAGAGTGAAACATGAGTGAAAAATTTCCGCCTTATATTGTTTACAATCATTATGAATTACAATTTGGTGAACAACATATAGAAGAAAATAAATACAGTCGAATCCCGCTACAACAAAATTGACGGGGCATGGAAAAAATTTCGTTGAAGCGCAAATTTCGTTCTAGTGAAACCGAAAAATTATATATATATATATATCTGAGCTGAGCTGCAAAACAAACGAACGTTTATTCTCAAAATTAAAAAAAAATGTACGCTGCTTCCTATTCTTTCCCAGCAGCGTCACGACTTGATTCTCACCCATGCATAGCGAGGCCATGGTGAAAAGCATGCTGAAACAACGGCTAAAACCGCTTTCTTGAAGGAACAAAACAGTTGCATTAACACGTTAGCACCAGCAGCTGTCCGCCGCCAAACGCATTGACGACGCCGAGATGGAGGCTGGGTATTGTGGAGCAGCGACTTTTGCATTATTCTATGCCATTCTTATCATCCATTACTCGCGGCTAGCTGATGTTGTTGATCATGCGGATGAACAGCCGCTCTGATTCGTTACCACACTGGCCAAGCGCGAACATAATGATAAGCATAGGAAAAGGCATCGTGTCGCGGTTGCACTCAGCAGCTGCGAGAAGGAAACCATGGACTGAGCGACTCATTGCCATCGCTATCGAGCAATGGCGGTGCCCATGCTTGCTGAACAGCGATGGTATAGTGGCGGTTTCTGGTGGTGCCGACGCGTGTTTTAGACTTCCTTGTCACATTTTCAGGCGCTGAAAATGTATCTAAACGTTAAAGATCTAGTTTACTCCATAGCAATAAGTATCTGAGCCTGGAATTGCATCGTAAAATTTCGTTGAAGCGAAGAAAAAGTGTTTGTTGCGGCGGCAATACTTGTGCATTGACTCCTATGTACTGCAGGTGGGAAATCGTGAATTTTTCATTGTAACGGAAATTTCGTTGAAGCGGTGTTCGTTGTAGCGGAGTTAGACTGTAGCATCGCCGGCTAGATCTATTCAATACGAACGCATTGGTATCAAACTTGTTATTGTGAGTCAATAAAAACATGTCAAAATGCCCCATAAGGCTGCGTGTTACATCTAAAATCATGAAACTGAGATAAATGCATTTGAAGTTTTAGTTTTTCATAAATTGATGTGCAATTAAAACAAAACTGTGTAAATGGCATCATTATGTAGCTTTGCCTTTCAGGAACAAGATAATGCCATATATGTTACAACAATGTCACAGGAACCATGCAAAATTTGCTGTATTAGCATGCATAGTCCTTGAAAATAGTGTGAGAAAGCTGCTACCAAACACTTCACCGTTGTATTTCAGTTTGTATGTGTACACTGTGCCTAAAAATGACATGATTATGTGGTCTGTGCTGTCGCTATTTGCACCTAGGTCAGGGTCACAAAAATAAAAAAATGGGGAAAAAATATTTACCGTATTTACTCGATTCTACCGCGCCCTCGATTGTAACGCGCACCCGATTTCCACCGCGAAAAAAAAAAAAACGTAAGACATCGATTGCAACGCGCACCCATTTTTTTTTCGCTGGCCCGCACGATCACACCACTCGAAAAAACGATTCCTTTCGGGATTGTCTTCCATCTAAATATGAGGTACGGGCGAAGCTTGTGCCCATCTGACGTGTAACAGAGCATTGCCGTCACTGTAGTTTTACCGTGGACCGATGTCAGCACGCGAACTTGCTTTGCCCCCTTCTTCTCGACAGTTGTGGTGCCAGGCATGTCGAAGTAAAGAGGCGTCTGATCGGCATTCCAGATTTTCCCAAGCAGGTAGCCGTTGTTGCGCCGCAAGTTTAGGACGAACCTTTGAAAACTGTAAAGCTTTTCATCGTACTTCTCCGCAAAAGTTTTCGCATATGCATGTTCCCCTTCGAAGGGAAGAGCCTTTCCTCTTCATATAGTTAATTAGCCAGCACCTGCTCGCTTTAAACTGGCTCCGCATTAGACTTTTTTCTAAGACTAATTGCATAGCCCGCACTTGGAGCAGTTCTGTCGTCACGGGCCGCTGTGCCGCTCGCTCCTCAAGCACATACTCGCGGAGCAGCTCTTTAATTTGCGGAAACCGACCCTGCTGTGGTTCACTGAAGCCTTTGCGTGAAGCTTTGCTGTCGACAATCTTCTGCTTTTGTTTCCGCCGGTCCCGCACGCACGTTTCGGGAACGACCGCGATGCGGCCCGACTTCCGTCCGTTTCTGCACACGCGATGACTTTTCTTTTAAAAGCGGCATCGTGGTGCACTTGAGTTTTTGGAGTCGGCCCTTTCACGTCGTCGATGCTAATGCACTACTAGATGACGAACTCCTCAGCACACGTACGAAATGCCGCACATGGTAAACACATAGGCAGAAATAGCCGACGCACCATGCCGACGCACCATGCCGACGCACGTAGGGGGCGGCCATTTTGGATTTGCGATGGCAATAGATTGACCGTAATTTTTTGTTCGTACTCGATTCTAACGCGCATGCGATTTATGAACTCGCTTAACCGAAAAAAAGGTGCGCGTTAGATTCGAGTAATTACGGTAATTCTCACAATGACAACGGCTTGAATCTACACTTTACAGCTGGCCAGAAATGTAGGTAGTGTTTACTGTTGGCTTATGCCTATTCACGAGCTTGTTTTTCATGGCAATCCTGGCTACATAGTCTTGATTGCGTATCTAATTGACTTTATTGATGAATCGCCAGTCACCCTCAGTGAAGCAAATCGCTCATTTCGCATACCGTGCGCTGAGCATGCCATCACGAGTTGAACACTGAAGTCCTCTTTTCTATGCTCCTTAGACACTGTCTTTGCAGTTGGTGCAAATTATAAGTCCAACAAGGTAATTAAACACGCTCAAATGTTCAATCGAGAATTCCGTTCCACTGTCACGGAAGTTTTCCGTGTGGACGCCGAGAAGTTCTAATTTTCGTTCATTTTTTGACTTGACGCCAAGTGCCTTTTCGGCCACACTTGCTGCACGCTGGCTATTTTCTTCAGCCAATAAGAAAACGTTATCGACGTGTTTCGATAACACTCGAGGCCGGGGTTGACAAAATATACACACTGCACGTGCTAAGTTGTGCTTTTGTACACAAACCGCCAACCGACAATCCCCGATGCGTTCCGTGGCAGCACTCGAGGCATGGCTGAACGAGGCACACGCGCTCAATGTAGCGGGCTGCGGCGCTGTATTTGATGCGTCAACAGGCGATTCCGCAATTATGATTAGTTCCGGGCTGGCATTCGAGGCACCCACGCTGGATGCAGCTGCGTGTTCAATTCGTCCAGCGGCTATTGCGGGACAGGCCTCACCGAATTTGGTTGCACATTCTATAGTCGCCATCGTTTTTGTCGAATACGCGGCGTGTAGTTTTCTTCAGGCGAGTGTCTCTGGACATTTGAGCAGCTCAAAACTCGAAGTAGTTCAAACGTGGTAGTGAAGTTGCGAACATGAACGTCGCGGAGCAGCTGAAATCCCGAGCCGAGCGAGTGCGCGATCACAATGCGAGAGATCACGCCGGACCAATAGGAGGCCAGCCTGCAGGGCGAGCGCGCACTTTGACCAATCACCTGCGCGCAAGCGACTTTTGGAAAGGGAGTGGTAGCGTCACTCTCGCTGCACTGGTGCCATTTTGAAGATAGAGAAAAGACGCACAAAGAAAGCAGCTTCAAAATGACACCAAGATGGCAACGCCCGGTCGCCGCGCTCAGAAGTTACGAGCGCGCGAACTTCGAACATAATTAGCCAATTTTAGGTCATTACGCCTGCACTTAGACATGTAAACCACCGTTTCTTAAAATATTTCTAGATTGAATACAGCTTTCAAATTTCGCCAGGAGATTATTAAATGTTTGAACTTCGTGATACTGCACTATTTCAAAAATCCACATTTTTTTTTTGTGTGGTTTTTCGCCATTTCAAGACCCGCGTCTCCCCTTAAGCGGTGAAGCGAGTGAATTTTTCAACAAGTTTTGCCACTTTCTCTCCCTTTGATGCCAAGTGTGAACATGCTTTAAGTGCCAGCAGCATGATTGAGGAAACTACAGCACTTTGTTCAAAAGAACATCATAGACTCTTTTTCAGCAAAATGTAGTTGACCCCAATAAAGTTGTTGTTCACCTTCATGATCAGCTTCAACTTGTTTTTGGTTTATACAAATTCAGGATGATCAGAATATTTTGCACGCTCCCTTCGAATTCGTATCATCGAGATTCTAATGTATTAATTTGAGAGTAGGTGCTCAGAAATACAGACGTCCCAAAAATAAGTTTTGTGAAAAAAATCTTTTTTTTTTTTTTTGCCATTTCTGGTCATTCCAAGACCCACGTATCCCCTTAAATGAGATCAGTGCCTGGTGGGTAGCTTAGACACAAGAATTCTGGCACATTTAAAAACGGTTCCTTGTGGGCAGTAATATCAAGAACTTCATAATAGTTTGTAGAAACAGCCCTCAAAAAAGCCTGCGTGACTAAACAAGTCAGCTTGTAAAATTGATGCTTGAGATATGTAGTTGTAGTAGAATGTGTAGGTGAGACCGTGAGACATATGTTCCGAGCCGTAATTTCACGACTCGTAATTTGAGGCCATTTTTACCGTCTGCAGGTGGAATCCCCAACCAGGCAGCCAAGAGGTCAGACTGCAGGATCTGCTGTCTCGGCTGCTGCAAACGAGTTTGTTGAGTTACAGTTGCGGTCCCTGTCGCTGCACCAGGAACTGGTGATGAGTCATCTGCGTCAGGTGCTGGAGACCAACCAGAATGTGTTGAGGGAGCTGCGCGACAGCCACCAGTCTGTTCTGGCCGAAGTTAAACAGCAGCAAATTGCGCTGGAGCAGCTCTCGGTGAGTGGCCTTGCACCCCAAGGCTAGGTTTTTCTCACTATGACATATGGCAGCGCACACTAGGTTGAACAATAAACGTGCACAAAAAGGGTCGACACAAGTGCTGGGATTTTTCTCTGCTCTTCTGGAGCTTGCATTTATAAATTCATGGTGTGTAGAATGACGATCCTTCCTGCCACCTGTCTGTGGCCAGAAACCTTCGTAAAAGTTTTGGAAGCTGTTATACATCTACGACTGAAACCCTCAAATTATTGGCACAGCTTTCTCGCGTGCCCTGTATCACTATTCACACCTTTCAATCACTTGTAACAATCCAACGATTCCCATTAGAGGTTATGGGAAGAGGGCCAGTTCAAGTCTATCCCAACGACTTCGAAAGGCAAAGCGAGACAAGGAAGAGGTTGCATGAGGCCAGAGGGAGCTGTGGTGGGTCGCTTGCGGCTCTGACAGTGTGCTCATGAAGCAACATACTTGGCAATGGCTGAAGAGAGGCCAGGTCAGATGTAGCGACTTCGTATCTTCTCATACGTTTTGTGGTAGCCGCAATGACTAGTGGTGGGATCACTGTGAAATGTTTGAAGAACCCCACGTTGCAATGGAAGGAACAGGAGTGCCTTCCAAGCGTGCTGTAATAGAACGGCAGTAAGGGTCGAAGCGTTGATGCGACACAAGGACCGATGGGCTGCCAGATCTTGGACAACTGACCACTTAGATGGGTAAAGCAGTTTTGGGGAGAAGTGGCGATTGTGAGTTATCATGGCTGGGCAGTGGATAACGAGAGAGAGCATCAGCGTCTTGACGCTTTTTTCCAGGCCTGTAGGCGATATCGAAATCGTATTCGTGTAAGCGAAGCACAAAGCGACCAAGGCGATACGATGAGTTCTTTAGCGACGAAAGCCAGCACTGTGCATTATGGTCAGTGATGACTGTAAAGTGGCGTCTGTGAAGGTATGGGCGAAATATTTGTACGGCCCAAACAATGGCAAGGCACTCTTTTTTTTGTTATTGTATCAGTATATGACTGGCATTGGCGATGACTCGTTCACGGTGGCGAGGTTACGTTGTAGAAGAATGGCAATGAATTTTGGATTTAATTATTTTCTTGTAAGATGCAACTTTAGTATAATGAGGTTATATTTGTTATAAAGGTTATTCCTAACACTGTATCTATTGCAAGAATATTTTTTATTTACTTTTTTATAACCGATACTTTGTTATGTTCGTGTTCGTTACATTGAGCTTTCAGTGTATATTCCTTTGCCGAAATAGCCTTCACTGCACACTGTTTTCATTATATAATTGAGCAACAGCTCATATTTAAGTGCATGTATCAATGGGAAATTCCTTTCTTTATGCAGAAAAAAGTCGATGACATCGCCACAAAGGCAGCGACTGCTGCCACAGCATCTCGTGCACAGCGACAGCGAGATGAGGCAGATTATGTGGAGGAGTACACAACAGCCTACGAAACAGACTTTGATCCATATAGAGAGTACTCGCACTTAGAGGCTGCAGCCGTTAGTGGAGCTGCTTCTACACTGGTGGCAGCTGGGCCACCCCACGCGATGGCACCGCCACCAGCGGCACCACTCGGATACCCGCCGCAGTTTCGTGGTGCCCCTTATGCGAGCTATCCTCCACCACCACCACCACATCTGGGCTATCCGCTGGCTCCGCCACCACCACCACTGGCAAGACCCTTGCCGCCACCTTTGGCTCCACCCCAGCAATTTTTCTCGCCACAGGTGGCTGCAGCAGCTGCTGCAGTCCCAACTCCTGGTCTCTGCTTGGCTGAGGGACAGGTGAGTGTTTACTGTTTAGCTGTGTGACCGTTGACTCTTGAGTGCTCTCGACCGCTCTCAGGCCTCGTTCCATTTATAGGGGCTATGTGTTGTTGGAAAGACTTCAGTTCGGCCGAATCTGGACAACTAGATTTTCAGATGTGAAAAACAGCTAAGGCAGCTTCTCACCAGTGCTGCCAAACCCAAAGGAAGTGTGGAGCTGTGAAGTCCTTCTTGCTTCTTTTTATTTATTGTTCCCTTTATTTTTCTCTCTATCAATCTTTCCCTTTCTTTCACTATATTACTCGCTTCCTTTTCTAACCCTTCTCTTTCATTCTTCGTTTAATTCTGTCTCTTCCTTTCTATATGTCATACTTTCTTTTTCATCTCTTTTTGTGTTCATTTCTTTCTATTTTTCCTGTTTCTTCTTTTTCTTTTCTTTCTACCTCTTGCTCTGTACTTGTTTTCTCGCCCATCAAAGTTAGTGCCTTATGCCTTGCTGGACAATCAGCGCATGTGTTATGAAAGCAAAGAAGTAGATGAAGAGGACAAAAAGCATGTGTCGTTTCAATATGATAACTTTCGTTTACTACTAAAAGGGCTTCTTTGGGCTTAAACAGTTGTGGTGTCAAAATTTTCGTGTGGTTGCCTGCCACACCTGAAAAAAAATTTTTAAAAGTAATATTGCTGTATTGATATGCTGTATGATATGTGTGATTGATGTGCTGTATGGATTTTAGCATTCATTGTGATGCATTGGACAGACAACTATTGTATTTACTCGCCTAATTCTTGCACTTTTTTTTTTTTTTTTTGGCGGAAAACAATGCAAAGCTAGGGGTGTGAGAATTACATGGGGAAAATTTTCCGCGAACACGTACAGAGCGAAAAACTAACAAAACAAAGTGGCCGCAAATGAGGATTCTCACGCCAGCAACTAACCGCTAGCTTTGTTAAGCACTAATTAAGACTTACCTAAACAATAAAACGACAGAGACACAAAAGGCGCAAGCAAATAGTCGACAATTGGAATACCATACACAAAGATTGTGGGCGTTGCAGGTGTAGCGTTAGCGCTCTCCACCCAACAGGAGCCCGCAGAAGGTTAGCGTGCGACGTCAGAATTAGGCCGATGGTCATTTAAACACAGAATCATCCGCAGTTGCCTTTTGACGAAATAAAGTTTACCATTCAGCCCAGTCTTAGGCTCACTTAAGGCCCAATGCGTCTTGGTGGCTTTCAGCTGCCGTTACCAGCAGCGAACACAAAACTCAACTCCGAAGGGCCAACCGGCGGGCCCTGTCCGTTGTTTAGTGCATGATCAATCACTTTCAACTTGAAAGCAGCCATGTAGCTTCCGTATGGGCCCATAGCGTAACAACTTCTTGAACACAAGAAACAGAACCTTGTCCAAAACATGCCGCAACGCGCACTTGTCACTTTGGCTTGCCTTGGATTGAATTGAGGCTCCGCACAATGATAGTACGTTGGATGCTTAAGCGGTGTTGCCAGATGGCGTGCGCTATCATTATCAGTGGCTGGAACGAGCAGACGGCATTATTGCGGCGATTTTTGGCGGTGTGAGAATTATGCGAGTGCAATGATTATGCAGGTAAATACAGCAGGATGTGGCATGAGTGCTTTGTAAACATTCACCTAGAGAACTGTTCATTTCGTCGTGTGACCCCTCTGATTCTATCAAAGCAATAATTGGTGTCAGTTCACCACCTGTTGAGCACTGCCTAATCAATGTGCACCGAAATGGACAGTCTGATATCTCCCATGGCGATGTTGAACCTCACTTGCGTAACCAAGTTCTTCTTTCCTCCTGCCTGTTTTTTCCAGCCCCTACCTCAGTTTTCATTCGACATAAGCCAGCCACCTCCTTCAACTTCTGTTGCCAGCAGCACGCCCTCCCATGTGGCTAGTGGGGATGTTGGTCGTGTGTCGGCCTTCAGCCGTCTCTCCAAAGTGCCGCCACCATCTCAAGCTCCTGTGGGGCCGCCAGTCACCACCATAACCCCTGCGGCTCCTGCCTTGCCACCCAAGCCGCCAAATGCTCCACACGCCTTCCAGATTCCTCTGCCGGCCACTGGCTCTTCACCTGCATCAGTATCATTGCCTGGTGCCGTGCAAGGGTTTTCTCAGCCTTTCCCCTCTTTGGCTGCTGCGACACCCACTGCGTCCAAATCGGCAGCTGCTATGCCACAACTGCACGGACTGCTCACAGGCTCTGTGCCATCGCTGGCTTCTGTGGCTCCTGAAAAGCAGGAACCAATGACCACCATTGGCACCAGGACTGCTGAAGCAAGTCCAGTTATTTCGGTGGGAAGCTCTTTCTTCTACGAGTGGTGTAGGAGACAGGGTTTGGTAAACATCATGTTCTAGAGACTCTCACTAAACGGTAATCTGTTGAACGGAACTGCTGCCTAAATTGAAGAACTGCTCCAGAACTATTGGTTTCGTACTTCGATTCTCCACCCTTTTTCATCTCTCAGTAAATGGAACTCTTGTTGAACGAAGCACATTTTTCTGCTCCCTTCAGGTTCCGTTTAAAGAGAGATTACTGCACATGCTAAGAGATCATTGGACCCAAGGGAAGCTAAATTAACTGTAGGATAGGTTCCGCGTGTTTACTTTGAACACCGTCACAAACTATAATTGACAGCAGATGGCTGAAACTACTTATTTCAGTGTTAAAGACAGGAAATGAAAGATGGCTCACTTCTCCAAACCTGTTGCAGTAGTATAACAAGTCACCCTTTGAGTATTTTTTTTTTGTTGTTGTTATAGTTGTTGTTGTTGTTAAATGCACCCGCTTCCTCGTTTCCCTGATCCTTTTTTATTTATTTTTTAAATTATTGCTATGGCATACTTGAACTCTTTGGGGTCACCTATTTCAAACAAGGATTACCCTAGATGCTTCATTTTAGAATGGCCATAAAGTGGCCAAGTATTTTTCATAAATATAGATGCATTGTTTAGTTATGAAAAATAAAATTCTAAATCAGAAAGAAGCTTGTTTTATTGGCTAAAGAGTATGTCCAGACCAGGAATTTAAAACAGGAATTTCGTTGTTAAAACTTGGGTAAGTTACAGGCAGTTAATATACTAGTTACAGGCAGTTAATATACAGAAGGAAGTTCCATAGTAAAAAGATTATCATGACCCTTTTACATTAACTGAAGCAGAGAGAAATAAAAGAAAAAAGACCCGGGCAGCTCCGCGGGCTCGCCGAGTGAGGAAGAAGGGCGGTTGCTTGTGTGTCGGAGCAACCTTTGCATCGGCGCTGGCATGGCTCCGCCGGCTAGCTCGGCCATGCGCGCTCTGCATGAAACGTGCGATTGCGTCCTAGTCAAATGCACAGCGAGTTTTCTGTCTGAAAAAGCGTTGTCGTTATCGTGTTTGCTACGTCGTCAGCAAACAATCTTCTCGGCTTTCCGACACGAGCTTTCGCTTTTGACAGCACTACGTGGACTTTCACAAGGTTGGCAGACTTTTGTCGCCATTGATTTTCTGGCGGTGCACCTAAACATCATACCACGCGCACTGCTCTTGGATCAGTTGCTTCAGTGCGACTCGATGCCAAATCTTTATGTTGTTGTGTACAAACTTCCCATGACAACACACTGAATTAATAAAAGTTTATCCAATCCAATCCAACACACTGAATTGTAGGCTAGCTAGGCCTAATCACGGTTGCTGCTTTTTGGTGGCGGTCACGGGTGATTAAAGTTGCGCTTTTGTGCGGAATCAATGTAATACTCGAGTGATGCTTCACAATTCGATTGTAATGTCTTGGATATTCAATGTGGGCCCGGGAAATCAAACGATCGGTACCGTTAAGTGCACAAAATTTCAGTCGTTAAGATGCACATAATCTAGACGGCCTGGAACGTAATTGGCGAACTTCAGCTATGTTGCTTTCTTTTTCTTTTTTTCCCCTTTCCCCGCGTTCATTTGGTTGGCAATGCGAGTTTTTCTATGTTAATTTTTTTTAATTTGAATGCACATCGCGTCTCTTGCCTCGATTCTCAGACTCGCCAGAATGCATGCTTGACTAGTGTAGCCTATGAAGAAGGTTGTTTTCGGTTGTAGTGCAGATATTCATGACTTTGGCGACGTACGTTATCAACAGTCTATGCTGTAGTGGGAAATAAAATTTTCGGAAATTTTATCTTGTGTAATAGGCACACCTCGAACTTGGAGCCGGAGGGTCTGGAAAAAAAGTGCACCCATTATCCGAATAAATACGGTAGTATGATTTTAACTTATCACTAGAGACCAGATTATAGGCAAATGCCTATTTGGTCCCTTGCGTTCCTATCGTGCCATTTTGATGCATGAGCATGAATTAGAGATTTAGAAGGGCTTTTGTAGTGCCTATAAATGCCTATTTCAGGGGTTCGTGCCTATAAATGCCTATTTTTCAAGTCAGCACCTATATGAGCGTTATTTAAGCCTAAATTTTGTTTTCGAGTGCAGTTTGCAATCGTTATTCATGTAAAAGTCAACAATGTTAATTCCAAACACTATGAGGTTCACCGAAGTCTTAGAGTTTTAGAAAATTCCGCAAAACAACCGCTAATCGCAGTGAAATGACACTCGCTGGCCACCATACGTGAGCAATTAGAGGAAGAGCATGAGGAGTGCAAAATACGCTATTTCTCAGCCCTAAGTGCAAACAGCTTCTGCAGGGGAATGAGGAGAGAGAATTAAAGATAGAAATAAGAGTGGCATCTATGGCCGCGGCCGTAATCTACATATAGCTGTCCAGTGTCCTGAAGGAACTGAAGAACAGCAGCTTCTTCGGTGCATCTGCGGGGAGGGGCAGAACAATGACAGCTGTACCAGTATGAAAAATGAACTAGGATGGGAAGTGCTATCATCGCGCCGAATCAAACTGCGGTTAAAGCTCCTATGTCTAGCATTTCATGGTAAAAATGGCATTCGAAAATGATTGTACCTAAACAGTCCTCTTCCCGCATAGGCAATTTTCAGATTCTAGAATATTGTATCATATCTAATTATTATAATAATTCGTTTTTTGTTAGTTTCATGGCTGAATGAAATGACATTAAAGAGAAGTGTGCTATATCAGTGAAGGCGTGTTCTCTTTGACATTGTAACCCATCTTCTGCAGCGCCTTCGCGTAAAAAATGTGATGTGCACGGGGCTTTTGCTTTGTTTATAATTTACTTCTTTAAGCTCCCCTTTCTAAGTGACATAAGAAGTGATAGTTAGACACTAGAAGTTTTTGGGTGCCCAATGAAAAGCGTCCTACCAAGGTTCTTTTTCAAATTGGTTGGCTACGAGCCACAAAACTATGATGCGAAGGCGCAAGCTTGAATCCCTTGCCTCTCACCCCATGTAGCCATCGCGAGCCTAATTCCTTCCCTGCTCTCTTCGATATCGGGTGTAAAGAATCACATGATGCATATGCACCAAGAACATCATGCGTAAGCAAGGTCACGTGCACATGACGTGCTCCAGCCTATTCGTGCTCGTATGCCACCCAGTTTGTGTCGTTTCGACATTCTCTGTTGTGGGTTACCCGTTTCTGCGAGATGGATTAGTCAGTAAGGTTACTTTTGGAGAGGCTAGGATGGATCATGTATACACAGCGATACACAGCGTCGCTCTGCTGAAACTACACCAAACACAAGCTAAGCGTTGTCAGGGTTGACGAAGGCACGATGCAGGAACGACGAGAAAATGAGCGCAAAAGAAATGGGGTAGTAGCAGTAGAAATATATAATAGTAGAAGTTGTAGTGGTAGTATGTGCGGGTTACGTGACAAAACGACGATATGATTATGAAGGATGCCGTAGTGGAGGTATCAGAAAATTTTGACCTTCTGGCATATTTTAACATGCACGGACATCGCGCAGTACTGCCGGCATCTACCTTTTTGCCTCTATCTAGATGCGACAGCCACGGCCGGAATAGAACCCGCGACATTCGCGTCAGCAGCGGAGCACCCTATAGCGACTGGTCCACCGAGGCGCATGTGAAACGAGGGTTGATTAGTAAATAGCACCTCGAGGCTATTCAAAACAAAAATAAAAATAATACCATGCTGAGATCCTGTTTGCGTGTTTTATTACTTTTTCTCAGCTTTCATTCATTATACTGATTTCGAAAGGGCAGTGAAAAGACGCAGGGAAAAGAAAGACATAGAGACAAAGAGCGCTGTTTTTTTTTTGTCCTTTGTATGAAGCAGCTAGCCCAAACCAAAGTACTTCTCATTCATGGTACAACACGACACACAAATTACACATGCCAACTAGAATAATTCACGTGCAAAGCTCTTAACGAGGTACCGTTTAATATGTAGGATATAATAATCATGAGACGGGACATTTAACGTCCTTTTTTTTTTTTTTTAGATATAGCCAGCACTTATTCAACATATGATCAAGAGTGCACGGTGAGTGACGCCAGAGCATGAATGTCAACGTAAAGGAGCGACGTAATAGCAGGACCATTCTTTGCTGTACGTCACTCCATCCATCTCGAGGTGCATGTCCGCGAGAAGGGCAAGTGGCATTCAGTAGAAATTTAACGTTTTTCCGCGACATGTAACTTTCCAAATCTTAACAATTATGATCCCGAGTGCCCAGTGCACCCATTACGCTTGTCGGCTCGAAATGCCCAAACCTAGTGAGGGGCCCTCTAAGGTGTTCACCGACAGAGGAGAAATTACGCGACTAGACCTGGCATTCCATCCTTCTGGGGTATCAGTGGTCTGGTTATTTCCTCCTTCGCTGCCCTTCCTAGCCACGATGAAACGAAAGACACCCAGGGGAGTGGTGATTTGACGGTGGACACTTGACTCACAATGATGGACAATAAATCGAAATTCAGCAATCTGCGAATCGTGTGGGAAATGCATGCCTATGTTTAACCGTTGGTGCCTTTGTGCTACCTTAAACGTTAACTTTTTTTTTTTTTCGCTTCTTGTCGTAGATACAAGTCATTGACGTCTTCGTTTTACAATATTTCAATTTTGTGGAAATTTATCTGCCTATATTTATGATTTTGAAGGCATAAAACGGTTTTTTACCTGACTGTCTTTGGCGTCTAAAATGCACTTCTTTAGTGCCTGAAAATTCGGCCTCTACTTATCACATCACCAAAAAAAAAAAAAAGATTGCAATAAAAAAATACACATAAAAAGCATTACAACAATTCAATAATCTTTATCCAAAGTACACCGAACAACAAAGTACACATTAAATGAAAGAAATAAGATCTCTTCTCGTTAGTCTGTGTGAAGTCTCAAGAAAACTGTGTCAGTTTTTGTTAAGTCGCAGATCAAGGTA